ATATATATATATATATATATATATATATATATATATATATATATAGAAATCTCGAGTTTACAGCGATTGTTTTCGCGTCTCTCAACGTTTCTCTCGAACGATATTTTCTGATAATTCTGATATTTTCGTTGTTAATGATAATGACGATGGTATTTGTTAGCACGTCTATTACGACGAGGTTCGCTGTCAGCCCTCCTTTTTATGGCTTGAGGCATCGGACATACTATTGACGTGTTTTATACCTGGCATATTTATATATAAATATATATATATATATACGTATATGAATATATATCTTACATGTGTGTGCATGATGCTTTTATCTGGACGTCTAGTGACGAGTATGAAGGCCTATATGTGTGTGTGTGTGTGTGTGTGTGTATGTGTGTGTGTATGTGTGTGTATATAATATGTATGCATATACATACACATGCACTATCTCATTGCAACATTTGATTCGTATATATACATATATCTCTTCAGCTATTTCTCTTTCTCTTCTTCCCTTCGTTTTCTCCCTTCGTCCCCTTCGTCCCTCTCTCTCTCTCTCTCTATCTTTCTCTCTCTCTCTCTCTCCTGTTTCTCATTTCTCTATTTCTTTCTATTTCTTGCTACTCTAAACGTCTAGATTAAATGCGTGCGCCTCGGTGTGGCCGTCGATATTAGAGCAGCTTGCGAATGTTGGACATATACCTCCGCAGGATTATACACATGCATACATGCGCGCGCGCACACACATACACCTTGTTGTGCTGCGTAGGACCTCTCTCTGTATACATCCTCGCGTTTTACGACGCGTTTTACGATCGTTCGACGGCCAATTTGCCGCCTACCGCACAGCCACCTTCGCCACTGCGATTTCGATATGCCAGCCAACATCTGCTCGATTTCTGTTTCGTGGGCGCAAACGTTGAGTATGCCAGAGTTGTGTGCACAATCACAAAGCACGTTGTCTCACCCGAATATAAGTCAAGATAATCACTCTTCCTTTTTAAATCGAAATGTTGCTGCGAGCGAATTGAAAGATTGAAGTGTCTATGTTGAAAGTGAATGTTCAAGGAAATCCTGGAAGGCTTTGGACGTTACCATCAATAACCAGTGTAACGTTTAGGAAGTACATTTGCAAGACAAGCGTTCACGTCGCAGCAATGTTATTCTCTCGGAACAACCGACTTTTCAACAATGAGTTCGGATACTCTCTAATCGCAGCACCAAGGGCCCTCCCTTGAGTATTTTTTCAACCCAGCTATAGTCAAAAGTAATACATTATCGTGCGCGAAGTAATTTGCACGGGCCCCGAGGAGTCGTGAAAAAGAAAAACGATGGGAAAAATTCGATAATGTCGCGGCTGTCGCTGACGTAAAGCTCAGGGCTCTCTCTTTCCCGTCCCTTCCCACAATCTTTCCCTCTGATCCTCCCTCTTCTTCTCTGCCTTCCTCGGAAAAGGAGCGAACTACTTTCCCCGCATGGCGGCAGCGAACTTGCGGAGATAAATATGAAGTTTGACGAAAATTGTGCAAACGTTACCTGCGCTTTACGTCTCTGCGCGTCCGACCCTCCACGACCTCACCGACGGCCATCTTCGACGCACATTTGCATTCTCCTCTCGAAGTCGCAAGAGCGGCGCCAATGGAATCTTCCGGAAGATCCGCTTTGAAAGACATTCTTCGATCTTACTAGCGTTCATTAAATCATGGATAAGTTGCACACGAGTGTACTTATACTGCGACAAGCAATCCCGTTTTCCCGGCCAAGGTCTCGCGACGAGAACGATAAAAGTTTCCGTCGACATCGACTCGAGGACATCTGGGTTTTCTCACGTGCTCTAAAAATCTGTGTCACTTCGGCCATCCTCCTTTGCAGGATAATGTGTCGCGAGCACAGATATGCGCTTCGTTAACCCCCGAAAAACCCCCGAAAATACGCCAATTAATCAATCAATCACGCTCTTTCGTCGCGTTGCTATTCTATGTACATTGCGTTATATATGCTACATCATTATAACTAGAATTATTTATGCGATTTTCGACCTTATGCGTGTAAGAATAAAAGTCGTGTGATTATTGAGCTATGAATAGTATGGCATATACAGGATGTCTCATCTAAACTAAGCCACCTAAATATTTCCTTCAATTTTCTCTTGCTTTGAGTAATTCAAACATTAAATTAATTTTTGAGTGACAAGATTATGAAATTTAATGAAGATTTTAATTTAAACTAATTTTTGAATAACAAGATTATGAAATAATAAAAAATTACTCCTACACTTATTTTGTGTTTTTCATGAATACCTTATGAAATATAAACGAAATAAAGTACGAAGTAAAAACATTTAACATCTCCTGAACTTAAAGATATGTTTATCTTTGATATTTTTTAGTATATAGCCATTTCTTTAAAATCTAATTAGAATGAGAACTTCAAAATTATCATTTAACTTTTGAAATGTATTTACTTTTATCAGAAGAATGAATACATACGAAAACACATACACGTGCGTATTCATGTTATAAAGCGAACATAACTGCTCAATACAAGCTCATCGCGAACGATGAACTGATAAATTGCTTGGAAATGATCAAGTCTTAAGGTTTTCGGAGGTCATTCGTAGGGCGATAGTACTAATTTCATTTTAATTTTCGG